AAAAAGGCACTAGTGATTAGAAATATATTGGAATCAATTATTATTTTTTGGAAAACATTTTTCGCGTGAGAAGGAATATATTAAAGGATGAGGATGCAAATATTATCCAGATTTTAGGCGAGATTCATATGCTAATATATTATGACAAATATTTTTAGAAAATTTTGCTATGTATCAAAAACATAAAAATGCCATAGAGATAATATAAAATGATCTAATTTAAAATGTTTTAAAAAATATATTCTATTTTCGTGTTATTCATATTTCGCACATACATAGAAAAAAAAGGTTTATTATTCTAATTTAATCGACTTTTATTTTTCCAATTATGCAATACACACTTTCTTATATATAAAAAAAAAGGTATAAAAGTGCTTCCAAATTTACCCCAATTCATATAACTTTTTTTAAGCAAAATTTCATTAATAATTTATTTTTTTTAAAAATTAGCAAATTTTTCCCTATACAACTCACTCATATACTATAAATGAAATCTTTCGCTTCAATACTTTTATTCCTAGTGGTAGTAAGCTTTATATATATCTACAGTTTTATATATTCAATTTTACATTCATCATAGGTTTTGGCTGTCACGGTTTTTCAAAGCGATAAAGTGAGTGCTCAGTACTATGGTGGATATGGAGGGTATGGTGGATATGGTTTCCCGGGTATTTATGGAGGATATGGTGGATATGGAGGTTATGGTGGATATGGAGGTTATGGTGGATATGGTTATGGTGGATATCCTTATTACGGATAAACTGCGACAATTTTATGATTGTATTAATCTTTTATAAATAATTTTGTGATCGTAATAATAATCAGTATTAAATAAATAAAGCCAATGCTAATTGATGCATTTGATTAATTTAACTTTATAACCTTTTTAACCTATCTTCTCCCTCAATTTTTATAAATATCCTTTTCGTTTGCTTATTGTTTTTGCCTTTCGTAGGTTTCATCATAAATTAATTAGGAATGTTGAAATAAGAATTGAAGAATAAATTATAATACGTAGAATTATATTAAATGTCAATTTTTATAAATATCCTTTTCGTTTGCTTATTGTTTTTGCCTTTCGTAGGTTTCATCATAAATTAATTAGGAATGTTGAAATAAGAATTGAAGAATAAATTATAATACGTAGAATTATATTGAATGAATAATTTTGGGTTGGGCAAAAATTTATATAATTATAAATCTTATCAATTTTCATTGTGTGATATTATTCAACTTCAAAAAATTACCATTAAATGATGATTGTAAATGTTCTCAGTCAAATTGTTAACGTTGCCTTTAGTAGTATCAACCTGGTCTTCTACAATTTTATTGCAATTATTATTGTTGTAAAGATTTTGATACTTAATTTTTCGTTATCATACGTATTATTTCTGCTATAAAATTTCGAGTTTTATTGTAAAATTACAGATGTATTTATTATCATTAAATTTTTTATGGTTTGTAAACGATTAAATCTATTGTAATTATTCTCATTTCTAAAATTATATCTAGGAAAATTGTTTTGAAAGGTCTCTGATTAATTAAAAATCGAGGCGTATAATTATTGTTAAAATTGTAATTTCAATAATTTGAATTCTTATGACTTATCATTAATAATTCTATTACTTTTTTTATCATCACTTAAATATTTAATAACTTTGTCGATGTCTATCAACGTTAGAACTATTATTTAAGTTTTTAGTAATCTCATCGTCTATCAAAATTTTCTTCCCATCAATAACATTTCGTCTAAAATAAGATTTTCTTTCTTAAGTTATCTGACATTATAGTCAGTACTACTGCCCACAAATTGAGCGTTTACATTTTGCCGTACTTTTTAATAAAAAAAAAAAGCAATGCATCCCCTTGTTTAAGTTGAGGTTGCCATTAATATCGTCGATTAAAAATTTTAAATAAGTTCTAAAAAAAGGATCTATCTTTAAAAATTATATTATTGTCTGCCTTTATTTCTCTAAATTCTAAATATTCATTTTTAAGATATAATTAAGTTATTTATATTATATTTTATATAATATTACAAAGCGAAGAATAAAAAAAGTAACGGAAAAGCAACCCTATTTGCGTTTTATGGTTGCTAAGGCCAAACGGTAATTTTATATCAATTTTCAGGATGCCATTTGAAATGCATAATTTGCGCTTGCATAGCAGCGTTTGAAACTCTCTGTGCACACTATACTGGATACTTTTATTCAATTATACGATCATTCTTACTTTTTTCTGCCTGGCCATATTGAATTTAACGATACTGGCATTTTTATTAGAGAATGGGACCAAGTATCTTAATTTTTTAATTACATTGTCGTAATCCCTGAATTCTAAATCAGCCCATAAAGTTTTGAGTTTAGAATATACACATCCGATATGTCATTAAGAAATCATTTAACCTTAGCAGAATCTGATAACGTAATATTTAAAAAAAGTGTGTGATCCTTCTTAAAATATAAATCAGATACAATACTTTCTTTAGGAAATTTTAAAATAAAAGTTTTCCCTAGGGTTGTCAAAATCAAATTTCCAATTTTTTATATCGTTCATTTATTTTTATTTATGATAAATGTTGTTACATAAAATGCATAACTTTTTTTTATATAATATTTATAATTTGATAAGACTGCACGCAATGATTAAAAAATGGTCTTCTCCAAGCATTTAAAACATATTGTCCAATAATTTGAAACATGAGAATAGTTCTGTGCTAATGGGAACCTTGTAGTACTCTATTTCATGAGTACTTACAGTACGCTCAAGAAAATCACATTCATGGACATGCAAGGGGACGTAATAAATTATAAATATGAACATGATAAGAAAATTTTTTTTTCTTATATATATATTATATAGTAGTCACATATTTTATGAATGTTTTTTTTTTAAAAAAAAATTTGGGTTTTTATCTTTTATGTGTAGCCTGTATGGTAATTTTTTAAATTTCATTTTCATATTCAATCCACAAGACGAGATATTTCACCATAAGACGATAAGTTAGGGCCATTTTATTTTAAATAGTGGACTATATTATTTACCTTTTATATATAAAGTTAATTTTATTTTTTTTGGATTTTTTTATTTTAATAAATTTAGTCTTGCCATAAAAATATGTGAAAGAGAATCTGTACCACCGAGTTTATCCGGGGCACCATGTTATTCCTTGGTTAACTAGCTTTCAAAATTTATTTATATATGAAAATAGATTATAAAATTTTTCTTTATTCCCACAAAAAAAAATAATAATGTTTATATATGAAAAACTTCTTTCGATCTTTATATATAATTAGAATGGTAATTTTTAAATGTTAAGTTAGATAAAATAAAATAAAAACCTAAAGGTTATAAAAATAAAAGTTAGAAAATAAGTTAAACCAAAAAAAAGATATAATAAGTTATTTAGAATTCTATAAGAGATGACTATGTAGTTTAGGTTTAATTTATAATTCATATTGTTAAATAATGGAAATTGATTTTTTTTATATTTAAATTTGTATTGGCATTTTATATAATTTTAATTGGTATTATTTGAATATAACCTTATTTGATATGTTGATGGAAACTTACGATTATTTTAGCCTGTAACCTTGCTTTTGTTTAAATTGTTTTTGTAATATATATACCTTATTTTTTATAATAATTTTTTAGTTAGTTATTTTTTTAGATTAATGTAACAAATATAATAAAATCTTTTATGATGCCCCGATATATTTATTCACGTACAATGATATATAAAAAAATCTCATATATTTATAAAAAATTAAAAAAAAATTATTTTGGAATTATGTAATAAATTATAAAAACTATTCGATATAAAAGGACACACACAAAGTATAAAAAAAAATTGAATACATAATCATATGACTTCATAATGTCATTGTTTATCTTCATACTAATTTAAATAAAACTTTAAGATAAAAGTTTGCAAATTTTAAATATGGACGAAAAAATTAGTGTATCATCTACCAGGGAGGTATAAGTTAATAACTAGTAGAATATTTAAAAAAAATATTAATATAGATATAATTTTTTAAAAAACTAGGTGCTAATCCAAATTTAGTCAATTCTAAGGCATAATTAGGGCTTTTTTTAAATAGATTAATAAAGTAATTTAAGAAAATTTATGATAAGTATAAAAAGCTATAAAGATTTTTAAAAATATTAAATGTATATATGAATTAAGTTTAAATTCAACTACCTGTTAATTGAAATTTGCAAAATTAATCTAATCTAAATAATTTATATTATAAGAAATTAGGTAATATTTTATCAAGTAACTATTAAGGTTTTATCAAATATATATTTTTATTACTAATTATACCATCTTATAATAATGATAGAAATCATATTCAAGAATCAACAAATTTGTGAAAATAAAATACAAGAAAAATGTATATATACACGATATATTCGTTATTAACTTTATATTTTAACTCGGTCATTGCTTGTTACATCCTTATAAAATTTATCAATTCGCTATGCCTTATCTATCATCTCCCGGTTAGTATTGTTAAACGGCTCGATTTGAGCCGATTTTTAAAACGGCTAACTCAATATTATAGCCAGAAAAGGTTTATGCAAGATTAAAGATTTTGGTCATAAATAGCACAAAGATTTATATATTTATTAGCAAAGTCTCAAGGCTTAAGCAATATTTTTCTGGCTAAAATATTGAGTTAGCCGTTTTTAAAAATTGGTTCAAATCGAGCCGTTTAACAATTACCCCCGACCTTATCACTACCATTTGGTGTAAAATTATAATTTCCTTCAATGTAAATGATTATGCTGGCCCTAATATGAAATATTAAATATAACTAATTTCACTTACTCCTCAAAATAAAACACTAATCATGTATTTAAAATAAAATGGTCACGCTTTTAATTCTATATTTGTAATGATAAATTCTATAGCTTCAAATTTATAGGGGCCATTTTGACGGCCATTTTAGCTTATTTGCCCTTAATCTTTATTAATAAATAGTAGTGTTAGTAAATCCATACCTAGAGATGACTAAATCATTAATTTCTAAGGATGATGAAAATATTAAAAATATATTATTATACATATATAAGCCTCCTTTATATTATGGATATGTAGGACCTTTTCTTTGTATTTATGTTTTGTTTGCCTTTATATGGATGAAATTTGGAATTAAACAAAATTATGAGTTGGGGCTTATAATATATGTCATCATATTACTTATCAATTTATTAACATTCTTATTTTGTATGTGGTCTGTAGACATCAGGTCATCCTTATTATGTACTCAAGTATTATGCTATTAATAATTGAAATTAAAACACTATTAAGGTGAAAAATCCATATGAAGCACAATATGCCAAAGTTATGCCAATCTCAAATACTGGTGCTTGTGAAATGGTTAAAATAAACCATAAAAAAGTTTTTACAATAAAAAGATAACTTTTAAAAAAATTTTAAGTTAAATATAAATTTTAGTATGTGGATAGAGTATCAAAAAGTCAAATATATATTTGATGATGACAAGCAAATTTTTCAACCAATTAAATATCCAATATATGAACAATATAATTATTATCATAATTATAAGGGTTTAACAGATGATTTTAAGGGTTTAATAGATAATAATTATATCAATATCATGGAACATGTTTATGGATTAAATAAGTTCATAATAATTTAAATTTATTTAATTAAAATTTACAAATTAGAATGAATATAGAAATTCCTGATTTTATGGAATTGATGAAAGATAGATCAACATCCCCTTTCTTTGTGTTTCAAGTATTATGTGTTTGTTTGTGGTCTTTATATGACCAATTTTATTATAGGTTAATAATTTTATATTTCAACTATCATCAAACTATTTCTAAATTGTTACTTATTTTTATTTGAATTAAAACAAAATTGGTAGAATTACTATTTTTATGCTCATTTTAGATAGAAATTACTTTTCTCTTTTGCTATTGGGAATTATAAAAAAGATGAGCCCTATTAAGTTTTAATAAGGCTAGTATAGTGGCTTTTATTTATAATTTAAGAAAGGAAGTCCCAAATATTTTTTTAAATACTACTTTTTAAAAATATTTATGAATTTATATATACTTAAAATACAAATAAAGTTTGTTCACTTTACTCATGCTAGTGGTATTTGAAGCTACACTTGTTAAACAACAACTCAAAAATATGTCCGAAATACGCAAAATGGGAAACAAAAGTTTCATAATCAATGTACAGAAATCTTATATACTAATTAAAATATTTTCTAGCTTTTATATTTTTTACATTTAACGTTTTTACAGGAACAATATTTCCTGCATTTAGTTTTTACTCTAATTGGTGTTAAATATTCTCCTTTTTGTGAATCCCCCCTCCCCCATTTTACCAATCTGGAACTGGAATAAAGATTAATACTAAGACCTTTTCTAGTTATTCAGAATCGATTTTTTCAACTATTTACCCTACGATTTAATGAATTTCCTCCATATTTAGAATACGTGCCCTGTTAATTTCTGACAATTTTGCCGTTTTTTTATATTTTTCTGTATAAAAAATAATTTAAATCAAGAATTAGTTCAAATCAGTGTGCAAAATTTTTCTTAAATTTACAGGATAGGTACTTTCTATTATTTGCTGAAATTCATTTTAGGTTAAAATCAGCTGTTTAAATTTTTAAAAATCACCCTCCTTGGCAAACAGATAATACCTAACGAATTATTCCGATATTCGATTCTTATTTTTGTAGGTATATTCCAAATTCATTTAAAGCGTTTAAATCGCTCCTCGAGATAAAAAAAAAATTGAGATTTTTATAAACAAGATTTTTTTCAAATACTTTTTATCGGATATCCGGCCGGTTTTTCGTGCTTTTTATAATATCGATTATTGGCCAATATTATTAAATTTACCGATTAGATCTAATAAAATGGCGTCATAATTAAAAAAAAAGTTTATTGATATTTTAAAGAAAATATTTATTTTTAAAAAAAACGTGTTATAAAGTAAAATCTGTCAAATTTCTGCCTATTGGGGGTGGGACCTAAGATTTTTGCCCAAATGAGACAGCTGCCCAATTTATCAAGAATGATTGCAACGATTTTTACTATATAAATCATTATTTACATACTTTACTTTTACATTTGCATTGATAAATAAATGATAATTTTATTAAAATTTGATAAAATAGGAGAAATTTTTTTAAATGGCATATGTTATGGTATAATTTTTAAAAAAATAAATACGTAAGAACAAAAAATCGAAAATATCGGATCGGTAATCGGCCGATATAAATTTTATATAGGCAATATTGTATCGGATCGATCTCCAAAAAGTGGGATCTGTACACCCCTCAAACAGAATTTTTCTAGCAATTTTACCTTAAAATTTTAAATCCAAAAAATTTTGGGATAAATTTTTTGTGATTTTCATGGATAAAAAAAGACTATCGTGATAATGTCACAAATTTTTTTTTGATCTTTAAAATAAAATAACCTCGAATTTGTTCTTAATTTCTAAATTATTTTAGATTTTTTTTAAAAAAAAAAAAGGTTCCCGTTCCTGTAAAACTTCAAAAAAAATATATCTTATCCTTTCAGTTCTTAGGCCGTGTCCTATCTCGACTTAATTATAGTTCTCTATTCTATCCAGAATAGCAGTCTGGACCTGCAAACTTACTCGTCCGCATAACGTTTAAAAATTATTTTTGTTGGTTGGTTTGGCTCCTTATTTATTTTATCTTAATATATCGCTCATTTTCGACCCGAAAACACCCACCCATCATCCCCCCTTTCGATATTTCGAATTCTGAATAAAAAGATGATCTAGTAGTACTCAGCTTTAAGTTTTACTTGTTCCAAGGGTTATTAGAAACTAACTATTAAGACAGTTGAAAAGAAATTTAAACAATCATGCAAATTTTGAACAGTGCCAATATAAATCAGTTGTAATTATTCAGTTCCTGGAATTATTCAGTGCCGATTTTAGATTTGACCGGTTTCTCGGATTTAAAAGCCGGTATTAGATTTGATCGGTTTCCGGTACCACGCTCTGTCTTAAAATATAAAGGGTTTTATTTTATGATTATGTGAAAGAATTTTATGTTTTTTTTTACCACAGGTATACCGAAATAAAAGGTGGCGCTTAATGTCCTCCGAAAATCTTTTACCCGGTGACATATGCTCCATAAGTAAAAAAAATTATTTATTTTTTTCCATTACGTTATTTATTTGTTATAATATTTCTTCATCTATTTCTTTATAGCCTTAATTTTCTCCTTTCTAATAAATATATTAACCCCCCCCCACTCCACCTCCATTCTTCCGAGATCAATTTTGAACTATTCTAATTTATAAAAAAATTATTTGATTATAAGTTGGTCTTTTTAAAGATACGCATTTCATTATAGATTACTAAAATAAATTGACTTTCATTTTGTGATGTTAAAAAGCCCGAAACGGCCCGATTAAGATTTTAGCTACAATAATATTATGTGGCATTATGTGGACATTTGGCAGATAGATGTCCTAGCAATTCTGCCAGCTATGAGCAAAATCTTTAGGCTTACATAATGATATTTTGAAAAACGAATCTGGCTTTAACAACACTACTTTCATTCATTCTTTCTTTTATTTTCTTTATTTTAAAAAAATTGATAACTTATTAGTTAACGTAGGAAAGCGCATTATAACACTAAAGTCCCGATAAATTTCCCCTTTTTTTAATCATTTGTTTGTTTTATTTTATAGCGAGAAATAAGGTTGTCCCATGTGACGTGCTGCTTCTCAAGGGAACTTGCATAGTGGATGAATCGATGTTAACGGGTGAATCAGTGCCCCAACCTAAAGTAGGTTTCTAATATAATTATGGCTGTGCCGATATTAAATATCGGATCGGATCGGCACCGATATTTAGTGTTTTCAGAAAATATCGGATCGGGTCGATACCTGTTAAAAATTTATCCGATCCGATATTTTTACTTTTTTTGTTATTTTATGTTATATATATTTATATATTTATTTTACATTATTTTTATAATATTTCAATAGATTTTTATTTATTTTTTAAAACGATGGAAATGCACAACACCAACTAAATTTTATTTATTTAAATGGGAAATCAAAGAGAAACTAGTACAAATAAAATGATTGAAATCGATAGTTATGTAGATGATCTGTCATACTTGAAAGAAATCAAGGTTAAAAGAATCAGAAGATATAATATTTCATATTTTATCTAGCATTCCATTTGTTTGGGTGGTATCTGATTATTTTTCAAACCCAACAAGAGGTTGGGTTTGTATGAAAAACCCACTAATTTAATAATGCTAGTTTTATATCTGTGTTTATTTAGATAACTCTAATAACATTGATATTATATCCCCTTTGGAACCACTTGACTATTGGTGAATTAATACTGAAAAGTATCCAACTTTGTCAAAACTTGCTTGTAAATTTTTGGCGCCTCTTGCAACAAGTGTCCCATTTGAGTCTATCTACAATACGGCAGTGGATATAGATAGTCCACATCTTAGAAGCTTATTTCCAAAAAATCTAAAAGCTCTCATATTTATTTTAAAAAATCTAACATATTATAATTTTATATATTAAATATTACAATTTTATAAATCATATCAACATATATATATATGTTGTATTCCATATCAAATCAACTGAAGATTCAACCCGACCCTCTTCGATTTTTTTTAAAATTTGCATGATGGTAGTATATACACTAACTAGCAATAATATAAAATTTTAATTCTCAACTCAGCTTACTTCATGAGATATGGCCATCTTTAGAAACGCGAAAAGTTCAAAATACACCATATTTCATTTTAAATATCTCAAAAAGTAATCAAGATAAAGGTATAATTTAAACTTTATTAAATAACTCTAGAATAGCCCTTTAATATGATATTCTATGAGTGAATTATGTAGATTATTTTCTTTGCCGGATAAAAAATTATCTCTGTGATCGTCAGAAATATATTTTCATAAAGATTATTTTCTACTTATAATTAATTATCAAATAAAATAATTATCATAAAAATCAAATTCAATTCCAACAGCAACAGCCGTCATTTATATTGATTAATTTTATAAAGCCATTTTTCTAAGAAAATTAAATTATCAATATTCATTATCCAATTTATTTTTAATTTAAAATAATTATATAAAATTAATAGCTATCTTTTATTCCTTACCAAAAAAATTTAAATGTCTAGAAAAGATATTTCTATTCCAGTAAAGTGCTGTAATCCCTTTATAATAAAATCTCATTCAGTACGTTACGATCTTAGAAATGTTTTACAATGGATGATAGAAATGAATTCTAGCTTATCAATTAATCAAAAAATTTGTAGCTCTTGCCGGAAAAAAAAAATATTCAACAAATCTGATCTGACCTTTTACTTCTACGATCCCGATCACATTACCTTCTATTTCTAACTTACCTTCTACCTCAACTATTAATGAAACATTTAGCGATTCTGAACCTGATCAACCATGCAATAATCCCGACTCTTATACAGATTTTAATACTTCAATTTCAACTTTAAATAAAACTTTGCCATTTTTAGGGGAGACACCTATTAAAAAGAAAAGGTTAAATGAAAAAAAATATCCTGTAAATAAATTTTTGAAAATTCAGGGAAAAATTAAAAAAGTTTTTAAAATAAATCTACAGGATCAAGCAAAAAAAGATGAAGCCGAAATCATAAATCAACTGAAAGAAAAATTTGCTACAAGTTCTCGCAATGAAAAAATACAAATTTTAACAGTTTTACCAAAATCTTGGACTCTTGATAAAATTGAAAAGGAATTTTCAACCACAAATTTTATGACCCGGACAGCTAAACAATTAGTTGAAGAAAAGGGTGTTTTGTCAAACCCAAATATCATAACACCAAGTAGAATAATTCCGGATGACATTGCAAATAAAGTAATAGAATTTTATAATTCTGACGAAAACAGCAGACTTATGCCAGGTATGAATAATTTTATATCAATGAAAGTTAATGGAAAAAATGAAAGTCAAACGTTATTTTAATTCATTAGATAATTTAATGTATGATATTATTTAATTTAATATGTTTATAACAATATTAATTTTCCATTTGATATTCATGTAATATAAATAATTAGCTAAATAAAGTTATAAATATTTTTACAATTATTTTCTCTCTAAAATAAATCGCTAAACTTATATGTTAAATATGACATAATGTCTACTAGTGGGCTCACAGTCCGAAACATTTATAAAAAAAATATAATCTGCCCGATCATAAAGGAATTTTCTTTTTATTTGTTTCGTAAATTACTATATATTTGGTATAATTTAGGATTTAAGCCATACTATTTATATTTAAAGCGTAATAACTATTGGCCCAGTAATGGTCCCAATCTAAAATTTTGTACAAATATTAAGAAGTATAATGTCTATTTGTAAAAAAAATTTGAAAGAAAAAAAAAGAGCAATTTTTATTTTATAGCTATTTCCGGTTTTCTATTTCCGATTTTTGGTAATAGACTTAATAAAATAATTTTTATATCATATTAAAGGGCTATTTTAAAGCTATTTAATAAAATTTAAATCATGCCTTCAGCTTAATTACTTTTTGAGATATTTAAAATTAAATATACTGTATTTTGGAATTTTCGCGTTTCTAAAGATGGCCATATCTCATGAAGTAAGCCGATTTGAAAAGTAAAATTTTACATTTTTATTAGTTAGAGTATATATTACCAACATACACATTTTTAAAAAAATTGAAGGGGGTCGGGTTGAGAATCGACTTTTTTTGGTTGATTTAATATGGAATACAACATATATATTATTCAAAATAAAATGGATACATTATTAAATATATATATATTTTTTTATCTATATAATATAATTTTTTTAAAAAAAATTTAAAAATTATAGTCTTTGTAGAATTAAAAATATTAAAATTAAATTAAATGCATAATTCGATTTTTTGCATAGAAAATATGGATTTTTTAATTACATTTGGTTCAAAGTTGGGACGTAAATATAAATATCGAATCAGTGAAAAATATGTGGATCGGCACAGCCATAGATTTAATGCATTTATTTACTTACATATTATATGCCTTCTAATATTTTCTTTCTTTTTTTCCCCCATTTATTTATGTTTATCTTTTACTGCTTTCTTTCTTCATTGTTTTTAATCCTGCTTATAGTCTAATATTAATTTTTTTTGCTTGCGGAAAAATAAATTTTCCTTCAGCTCTTTCATTCACTTAGATACAGCAAATATACCGCACCTTTTTTTTAAAGTATGAACACTGGTAGTATCACTCATGGGCCATTCCATGTCAAATCAATCAAAAAAGGCCGGCCGACCCCTTTTAAAATTGTTAAGAATTTCTGGAATTATATAGATAGGTAAATAAATGAGAAAACCGTTTATTAGCACACCTGGTTCGAGATATATGGGCAGAAAAGTGCAAAAAATAGCCACTTTGGAATCTGTAAAATTTTTAAAATGCTTATATCTCAAAAACTATTTATAATAAAACAATATATAATATACCAAATTGTAGGTTAAAAAAATAATAAAAATTGGCGCCAATATGAGTCTTTAACTTCCGGTTTACCTATATTGCTTTACGTCTATTTTTAAGCAAAAAAGAGTTTGTTTTCGGAAAAAATATTTTGCTTTTTATTTAGACACCTTTTATAATATATACTATGTCAAAACCTTGGCGACGCTATCGATTCCTCGGCATTTTTAGCAAAAATTGAAGAAAAAATAGATTGCGCTAATGGTTGAAAAATATTATTCTTAAGGAAAATGAAAATATTGATACGTTTATAAAAAATATGATAAAATTTCCCATATCTGCTCTCCCCCCTACCATCCTTAAAAGTTTTACATTTTTTAGATCTCTACTTTGATACTATAGCGAATGACTTATTAACTCGATAATGTATAACAGCTGCAGTAAAAACGAATATTTTATTAGACATATTATATATAGATTATATTTTACTAGTATATTATTTTACAAAATAAACTGTTTAAAAAGATCTCTCTTTCTGCGTAATATTTTTAACTTGTCCGTTCAGATTAATTTTAAATAATTCAACCCGTCTGCAGCTTATTATTTTAGGGATTTGGAGAGTGCAAAAACATATATTCTAGGTGCAGATCAATTAATTTTATTCTATATCACAATGGACGTACCAAATATTAAAATGTTACAATCCATTTAATCTACAGAGACATGCTTTTTATCGCAAGAATCTAAAAAAGATTCTACCCTGGATGACCCAAAGAAATTTAGTATGTTAATATGCTCTTCATGTCGGCAAAATTAGCAAACATTCCTTATACTTCAAATGAATGTAGATATTGATTCTCCCCTTCATATAATTAATCAAGAGGCTATTCATAATATTAATATATCCCTACAATCAAATGGGGAATCTCTCATTAAAAGAAAACGCTTATGTGAAAAGAAATATTCGTAGAAAAAAATATCTAGAGTAAAAAAAAATTTAACGACTAAAATTATACCATTATCTTCATCAAATTATGAAAACTTCGATGAAATTATAGAAACCTTAACAATTTATCACAACTGTCGATTACAAATAAATATATAGATTATTAACATTATTACCATCAAATTGGACAGTAAGAAAAATTGTAAAAGAATTTTAATATTTCATATATGGCGAAAATCAAAAGGTTTAATAAAAGAAAAAGGGTTTTTTTTCAACACCGAATCCTAAACCCGGCGCTTTGCTGTTGTCAAAACCTTTATAGCAATGATGAATATAGTAGATCGATGCCTGGGAAAAGGGATTTTGTTTTTATAATAAAAAATGGTGAAAAGATTCAAGTCCAAAAAAGATATTTTAATTAATTTACGAGAGCTTATATCTTAAATTCAAAGGTATTCATTCAAATATTAAAATTAGACTAACTAAATTTTGTTTCAAATATATGTGAAATTATGGAATGAATATGATTATATCTATATTTCTATATATTAATAAAAATAAATATTAAAAAAATTACATGAAAGATATTTATTATTGGAAATTTGTTTCATTATTAAGTGTTTAATGGGCATTTTCCCACTTTGCCCCTCAGTTTAATTAGTATATTTAATAGAAATTCAAAATTTTTTAGTATAAAAAGTGAAAATATCCGGTTATTGATAAGTTAGCTGCAACATTTTAACCATAATCCGTAATTTCATAAAGCGCCCTCTATCTTTTTCTTTGATTTTTGGAGTCGATAGCGTCGCCAAGGTTTTGACATCGTATATATAATTAGCAAAGGTGTCTAAATAAAAAGCAATAAATAAATTTCGAAAACAAACTCCCTTTTTTGCTTGAAAACACAGGTAATGCAAAATAGATAAACCGGAAGTTAACAGCTCAAATTGGCGCCAATTTTTATTGTTTTTTGATAGCTCTTTAGAGATTATTTTTACCTACAATTTGATATATTAATATATTTTTTTACCATAAATAGTTTTGAAGATATAAGCATTTTGAAAATTTTACAGATTCCAAAGTGGAACTTTTTTGCACCTTTGAGCCCCTATATCTCGAGAACTAGGTGTGCTAGCGAGTTAAATAAACGGCTTTCTCATTTTTTTTTACCTATATAAATAATTCCAGAAATTTTTAACAATTTTAAAAGGGGTCGGCCGAATCATGATTGATTTAACGTGGAATGACCCTCATATAACCAATTTTCTTTCCAGATAATTTATTTTATTTATAAATATATTTTAAAATGTAAAGTATAGTCAAGTATAAATTTTGAAATGCTTATTTAGACGTAACTAGCATGATATCTTTCAAGAGTTATTCGCTTATCCTCAATCTTTACGTTGAAAGATTGAATTTCAAATGTGAAAAGGATGGGTTGCAGGAGCAGCTAATAAGGTTTTGAATAAAATATATAAATCAGGGGGCTGCAGCGTACCAGACTCCAAAAAATGCAAAATATTTTCCTCCTAATCCAAAAATCGCTAAATCTATTAATTATCGTTACATTTCTCTGCAATCGTTGGCCTTTTTTTTAAGTATTTGCTCCTCCCTTTCTTTAAGTTGTATCAATTTCTCTAAATCATCTTATACAATAACTTCATCTGAATTATTATCATCAGATGAAATGAGAGTGGGTATGGTTTTAATCGCACTCTATAAATTAGCAAGATGCCTATTTGCACAAATCTTATAATTATCTTTGAATAATATCAATACCTTTTATATTTTAATAAATTAAAAATATTAAAAAATCTCATTTAAATTATTAATTTTTCTATTTACAATTGTACAAATATCTTAACATATGATTTTAAATATGAAATTCACTGAACCCGAGATCAAAAAATTTTCGGGTTTGGTTAGGGTTTTTAGAAATTTAAAAAAAGGTTCGGTTCATTCCGCAAATTTTTTTTAAAAACCCGGGTTTTTAACTTCAGATTTGGCTCGAACCCCTGCTTTTTAGGCTGTTTAGTCGAAATTTTTTAAAAATTAATTTTTATATAAAAAACAGAATCCTGCTGGCTCACTTCATGAATACATAAAAATATTGCCGGGCTAAAAAATATGTAAAATTTCAAACCAAGGCTGAGCCCTAAATATTTAAAAATAATATATATATATAAATTCAGCCTAACACTTATAAGTAGTGATAGATAAGATTTCTCTTGAACTTTAAGCGATATAAACCAGATACCTGCAGAGGTACCATTTGCACAGCTCTACCCGGATTTTTTTTAAAAAATTTTTCGCCTCGGTTCGACGTTTTAATTTTCAGGCCCGGCCCGGATATTTTTTAAAAAATGTCTTCAAGCCCGGCCCGGTCCGTGATATATACTCATTGACTAGCTTTTTATTTGGTTTTTTTTTAAAAACATAAATATAATTAAAATTTTAATAAAAAATATGTCATGCAAAGGAATCTATAGAAAATGAGAATGGCGATCAGATTTTGGATCTATCCAGCGAGGACTCCAAACTGAGGGTACTGTATGGTGGGACTCACGTGATACAAACCCTTACGCCCCCCAATAAAAATAAAAGTGGATGGAAAAGTTTATTTTTTTTCACATATAAGTACTTATGATAATATACTATTATATCATGTTAAGTAGCATTTTAAGATTATTAGTGTTATTTTAGTCTTTTGCTTTATATCTTCGCTTGAGAATTGAAGTGCTCTACCGATATTTTCTAAATTTTCTAATTAAGCTAATTTAACTTTAACCCTAACAAAGAAATAAATAAATAAAGGAAGGCTTTCTTTACACCCTCCTCCCCCTTGCCCCTATTTTCTTCATTTTATTTTGTTTATTCTTTTATTATTATTTTTTATTCAATCTTGCAGGTCCCGATAACGGTTGCTTGGTACACGTTTTAAGAACCGGATTCTCAACTAGCCAAGGTAAGCTATTGAGTACTATTTTAGGAGGGGTCAAGCTTAGGGGCGGGTTTGTCGGGGGATCGGAAAATTGGGAGACTTGTTGTTTCATTGGACTTTTGCTCGTTTTCGCTATAGCCGCTTCAATATACGTGTGGATTCAAGGTAAATAGGAAAGATATATTTGCATAGATTAGAACGAGATTTCTTGGAACCGAGTCAAATATAAGAACTTGGAATCAATAAGATAAGGAAATATGACGAAAATTAGAAGAAAATAATTCAGGCCAATTAAAAAGTAAATTATATTCCAGGTACCTTAGACCCAGCTCGAAATAGATACAAGCTTCTTTTGGAATGCGTTTTGATAATTACTTCGGTTGTACCACCTGAATTACCTATCGAACTTTCCTTAGCCATTAACTCCTCCCTTCTGGCCTTGTCAAAATTGAGTTTAGTTAATTGTTCTTATATATATACAATTTTTAAAAAAATATATAATTAAGAACTCTATTACAATCATCATTTCTCGATGAAAGGAATGCTAGATAGATTGATTGATAGATAGATAGATATAGATAGATAGATATAGATAGATAGAATAGATAGATAGATGGATAGATAGATAGATAGATAGATAGATAGATAGATAGATAGATAGATAGATAGATAGATAGATAGATAGATAGATAGATAGATAGATATAGATAGATAGATATAGATAGATAGAATAGATAGATAGATGGATAGATAGATAGATAGATAGATAGATAGATAGATAGATAGATAGATAGATAGATAGATAGATAGATAGATAGATAGATAGATAGAATAAAAGAAAGAAATAAATAAATAAATAAAATTTTTAATCATGTATAGGCATATTTTGTACCGAGCCATTTAGAATTCCTTTTGCCGGTAAACTTGATGTCTGTTGTTTTGACAAGACTGGAACCTTGACAACCGATGATTTTGTTATAGATGGCGTTGTAGAATATATTTCTGATAAAGAAAGTAATGTGTTTTTTTTAATTTTTTGTATTTTTCACTTAAAAATATAATCTAATTAAAGGAAATGAAAATTTATTTAAAACTATTTTTTAAACGAATCAGATGATGGAACTCAAGGTGGTGCCATAATGACCCAAAAATTTGGCGATAACAGTCTTGTTCCTCTTGAGGAATGCAGCAGAATAACTAAGATGGTTCTAGGTACTTGTCATTCTTTAATTAATTTGCCTAGAGGGGAACAAGATGATCAGCTAGAATCGGGACCTAGATTACCACGCACTCATGGATTGACCTGGGATATCAATATCATAGGGGATCCTTTGGAAAAGGCAATTTTGCAGGAATTGGGGTGGAATTTGACTAAAAGTTTGGAGAATTCAAAGAATTTTACCTGCATTTAATACTAACCTGAACTGCGATTCATTCATTAAAGAGTTACATATATTAAAATCCGCCATTGAAAAGATATTTAGACGAAACCTTCAATGGTCTCTACTACAGCCAATGACATTGACTACAGCTGACTTCAATATATGTGCACTTTTTATGAATGAATCGCCGGCTTGGATTAAAAATTAATCTCATTGTTTTTAAATATGTAAAATAATTATACTTTACGAGGTAAGATGCTGTCTATAATATTCTTAAGAATAAGTAAAATAGGGGAAAGTAATGTTAAGCCACTAATTCTTATATTAAAATGATAAATTTAAATTAATAGACGCCATATTTAAATTATATATAAACTTAATTCTAATCCAAAGATGTATTCCGAGTAAAATAAAACAAATAAACCATATTATTAAATTTCACAGTTTTAAAATTCCTATTTTTTTTTATTACCTTAGCTAAATTCAAAACATGTAACAGAGGTTTGCAATAAGAGCATAAACTGACCGCCCATTTTATTAAAAAATTTTATATAGCGCGCCATTTTGTTAAAAAAAAATTTATAAAATTATTATAAATTTGCATGGTGTTTTTTTTGGCTCGTCTCCATATTAAATATCTAATCGGGACCGATATCTAGCATTTTTAAAATAAATCGGACCTTGCCGATATTTTTAAAAAAGCCGATTCGATTTAATCTGATATTTTATATTTTTTTAATGTATCTTTATTTTATATATAATTTCATATGAATAATAAATTCGTAAAAATTAACTGAAATTTGAATTTATTTGTAATGTTTAATATAAATAAAAAAAATGGAATTGTTTTGTTATATCTGGTAAACAAGAAAAGGTTTTAAAATATCTAACAAGTCACATTAAGCTGGTGTTGTTATACGGATTGGATATAGCCGATATTTTTTGAAAAACGGATAACTCAATGTTTTATCCGATAAGTAAATTATCCAAGCTTGGGATTTGCCCACAGTTGGCAGAAAGGTTTAGACATCTAACATCAATATTTCGAGGCTTGCATAAATATGTTAATGGCCATTTTTAAATATTATCTAAATCGAACATTCAAGCCATAAACATTGCCAATATTTTAAATGAGATAATTAACTTTTTGAGAATTGAGTAGTGTGGAAGCTAGCTTTTTTTTGAATAGAAAATATTAATTTTTTTTTTATGACATTGAATTTAAAATGAATGGCAAATAAAATCAATTTAAGTATCGATTATCGGATCGGTTTTTAATAATATCGAATGAAATCTGTTAACCGACACAGCCCTGATAAAATAAGTTCCACATGCACATTTCGGCACATGAAATAACAAATTCAGCTGCCCCAAAGACCATGTTTAAAATGTAACTTTTCTTTAAAGAAATGAAATGAAGAAAAAAAGAAGATGAAAAAATTTTAAACATTTGCACCCATTTTTTTTAGACGATGTAGTGATTGGAGTAAACAAGACCGTTCATGAATTAACATGGTCACCTCTCAAAATATTGCACAGATTTCACTTCCTTAGTGCTCTGAAACGAATGTCGGTCATTATCAGTTACAAGGACATGTTCAATGTGAACAAGTTCATTTACCAGGTGGTCATTAAAGGAGCTCCGGAAGTGCTTAAACCTATGGTTTTTTTTCAAATTCATATCGAAAAATTCTTATATTTCTGATGAAGAGGGGGGGAATGGAATAATATATACCTTTTTTTAAAAAAAACATAATATCGACAGAATAAGGATTTGAATTAAAGGCATTTTATTATTAATCATAATTTTAATAAGTAGTTTGCCAAATATTTTAATATAAAAATCTATATATAATGGGAGAAAGTATCGTAACTAGATGCATTAAGTAATTTTTTATACTACTCCCTGTACGTCAACATGTGTTTTTTTCAGCAATTCCAACTTTTAAATCAATTTTTGACAGCTTTTTTTTAAGATTTAAAAATCTGTTTATACCGGAAATGGATTGTAGCATGTTTGGAATACCTATCTCACGAATTGTAGACAAATTTTGCCATAACCTTTGATTCAATTTATAATTTATATGGAAAATCGGTGGGAAAACACTAATATAAATTATATAAAATTCATAGTTTCGTTACAAAATCGTTTGAAAATAGGGTGGGTACTCCAAACATAATGGAATACATTTATTGTAGAACCTGATTTTTAAAGTTAAAAAAATAACAACATTGCCTCCAACATAAACATTGTAGATTTAAGAAAAATGGGTAGCATAGTTTTATTAATCTAATTTTTGTAATATTTTTTTTTAAAAAAAACGTCTATCCCAAATTTCAACGATTATAAATTGAATAATACGTGTCATTGGGGTGGGAATAATTTTCTTAGAGTGACGGTTTCCAATGACATATAATAATACCTATCTGTCGATGCTTTCATAATAATGCATTTGAAAGCGTCTTTGAATGCAAGTCAGCTGGGCCGGCCATTTTGGTAACCCATGTAGTAATTATTCTCATGTTAAAATCTACTATTAAATCAGCTTGCTTCCTTATTATCACGACGATCAGGCAATTCTTTAATAAAGTTTGCATCAGACATAGGAATAAATTGGCCTCGTTTAAATTTTTTAATAATGATATGTTATGGGTAATCAAAATGGCGTTCCCAACTATTTGATGTACACTTTTAAAGAAATAGTCAGTCTAGCTATTATTATATGTCATTGGGTGTCATGATTTGGTTTTTTTATTAATTTTTTTCTTTTTCCATGCGCAATAATTTTTGGCTGATATCAATGTACGTGGATAGGTCGATTCGTTTATTTTAAGCTTTTAACTTGGTTAAAAAATAATAAGTTTTTGAGTCGATCACGATTTTCTTTTACCATAATGGAAGAGCCGATTAATCCAATTCTCAAAGTTCTTAATTTTCATAGTTTCTATTTGGTTGGTTGTTATTTTGCTCTTTCATTCGGAATAGTAGTCATCAGTAAGGTAAATTCCATGATTTTTTTAGGCAGATGGAAATCGGAAATAAACCGATACGAATTTATAAATCGAAAGGGACCGAGTTATAACCGGTATTGAACTAACCGGTTTTACAATTTAAAACTAAAAACCGGAAATTGTACCGCTATGCTTTCAACAGCCCGATAAATAGTAATGAAAGAAAATATTTTCTTTTTAGCCATTTGTTTTCATATATCATCAATATATTATACATATGAATGCGTGTATGAACTAAATAAAGTTAAGTGTCTTCTTTAAATCGATTCACTTTTGCGTGACTGGCATTTCAGATTTTTTTTTACAGTTAGTAAAGGTGCTTACTCATTTTATAACCAACCATTCGATTAAAATTAAATGGCCAAAAAAAATAAATTAAAATCAAGTTTATCAACGCACCTGAGGATTACGACCAAACATACCTAAAATTCGCTAACAAAGGCGGAAGAGTTCTTGCCTTGGGCAGCCGCATATTGCCTGCGGAGCTTTTCGATACCGGAAAATCTAGTAACGCGACTAAATTCGAACTAAACCAGGATACCTTCGAAAAGGAATTGATTTTCAGGGGTTTTTTGATTGTGTCTTGCCCTCTTAAAGCCAGCACAGGAAAAGCCATTAACGAATTGATACATTCTAATCATAAAGTAAAATTGATTCAAAAATGAAGAATAATGGACAGTATTTTGTAAAAAAAAAATAGATCGTAATGATAACAGGTGATAACCATTTGACGGCCTGCCATGTTGGTCACGAATTAGGGATTGTATCGTCAAAACAAATTTACATGTTACAAATACCCGCTTTCGATACTGCAATGGACGGTAGCGAAAAAAATTATATAAAATTTTTGTAGTTGACGTTAAGATCCACCTAAAAAAAAATTATCATAAAGAATAGAATTTGCGAAATATATTACAATTATTTCTAGTGAAAAATTTAATTTTAATTTTTTTTAATGAAAGGGTATGATTTATTAACATGGAAACCACTGCATAATTCCAATCCTAACCACATACTTCGTTTATGCCCTAGAAAATTAACATTCCAATCCTTGCACCAAATTCACCCCAGTTCTGAATCAAATCGCCGAGCGCAATATGATTCACTCAATGAAATAAAGGATAACAGAATAGATTTATGCCTAACGGGACAATCCTTTGAATGGCTCCTTTCTTATGTTTCTTCGATTGACAAAAACAAAGACCTGAGTAATAAGCTGATGGATTTTATCTTGCTTAAGACCAAGATTTTTTCCAGGTTTACGCCCACCCAAAAGGTAAACATATTTTTTAGCAAATATTAATTCGGAATTATAAAGAGAAGGAAAGTTTTTGGCCTGATTTATTTTTCCACTTTAAAAATAACTTAATTTTCCTCTTTTATCAGTTTTAGATTTTTACATATTTACGACAATTTATTGGGTAATAATAATATATAGGAAGCAGTGATCTCATCATACAACAGATCAGGCAAAGTTACTCTTATGTGCGGAGATGGAACCAACGATGTAGGAGCACTTAAGCACGCCCATATAGGTAAGAGGGTAATATTTTTATGTAAAATAAAAACAATTTTATATGACAAAAAAAATTAAAATAAAGGAAGCGAAAGAAATGAATGAAAATAATAATAAAGAAAGGAATAAATAAATCACAATACATTTTCGCATAAATATAACTCAGGTGTCTCCATATTATCTCACGGTGGTTCATTAGACGAGATCGAACTTGATAAAAATCTTCACAAAAATCCCAAAGTTACACCAAATTGTAATAGCAACACTACCATGTCGAAAAAAAATTTACTCGAGAAAAGGATAAAAAATGCTAAATTCAGTTCATCGCCAATCAATAATTCTAGCATCGATACTTCTATCACATCTGCTAATACTCTTCTGAACAAGAAATTGGAGGCTAAAGTAAACCAATTTGATTTATAATACTTCCTAAAAGGAGAAAGTCAAAAAGTTTGATTAAGGGTTAAGTGAGTGTTGGAAACCAAGGAAATTATAAATAATCGTTAAGTTTGAATTTCATCTTCAATTGGAATAAATTAGACCGTAGCGCTGTCTTTAGAGAGTATATAAATATTTGTGTTAAAAAAATTCTTAAAAACTAAAAGAAATAACGATCTTATTTTAGCCATTTTGTATTAGCTATTTTAAGCCGTTACTTCCTAGTAATGCACCTATTTCTCACTAATGAAAATATATTTGTCTTGTGAGAGATTTAATTCTCTCTAACTAAGTGGCCATAGATCCCTTTTTTAATGAGGTATTTAATTTAATTTTTTAAGAAAAAACTTGCAAAACTTTTGCAAGACATTGAGAAAGAAGGCATGGATCCGGATATCGTTAAGCTCGGCGACGCGAGCATCGCCGCACCGTTCACCTCCAAAAATTCTTCCATCCAATGCGGTATATATAATACATTATGGAACGAGAGAAATTACCCCATTTATAAAAATGAAAATTAATAAACTACTTGAACCTAGGGGCTTTATGGTGAGGGGTATATTGGTCTATTTTAAACCCCTCGATGACGATGATTTAGTTTAGTGACATATCCAGCAGCTTCATAAAAGGGGGGGGGGGGTTAACGGGATTTTTTTAGATCAAAATGGCTATATAATTTCATTATTTTTTTAAAAAAAATTAGTTTGTCACATAATAAAGCAAGGACGATGCACATTAGTTACTACCCTGCAAATGTACACCATTTTAGCTCTTAACTCTTTGATCTTAGCGTATTCCCAGAGCGTGCTATACCTACAGGGCGTTAAATTTAGCGATACTCAAGCCACCATACAGGGTCTTCTACTAGCCATTTGCTTTCTTTCCATATCCAGATCTAAAGTTATTGTTTTTAATAATTTAAGAAACTTACTTACAATTATAAATTGTTTATGTAGATAAAGTAAAGTTTTTAAAAACAAATTTGAAAGATTTAAGGGATCTTTTCTTAAAGAAAGTAAAAGAAGGAAACAAACAAACACCAAGATGAGTAAAATGAACAAATTCTTTCAAAAAAAATGATAAAATATACTCAAATTTTTTTAAAATTAATTAGCTAATTTGTATATTAGCTGTAACTTATATATAAACTAGTTGGAATTTGTTTACTGGAAATTTTAAAATGGATTCTGGTTCCTTGAAATTTGTAAAATGGTCTCAAATTTGACATGGTCCAGGAAAAAAAAATGTAAATTATTAAATAAAAACGAGAATTAATTAGTGCTTAAACATTTCAAAAAAAATCATAATAATTTTATAAGCCTATGAAATACAACAATCTGAAATAAATTTTTAACAGGATACTTATAGTTATATTATATAAAATTATAAATATTACAATCAAATATCTCTTTTAAATTTGAACTTGAAAATTTTGAAACTTTTATTATACTTTTTGGACACAATTTGGTAAGGATAGAATTAGTTTATTTAATTTAGGATGTAAAGTATTTATTAATATATTTGGGTTATGGTAATTTTAATTCATTTTAATTCTGAATTTACAGAATCAGATTGATGATGATGAAACATAACACAACATCCATGCTTACCCTAATCTATAACATAAATGATAATATTCAAATTAATAAACTTATACTATAGGACAGAAATAGTGGCTGGTTAAAAAAAATCAAATGTGATAAAGGAAACAGCTGAACCCGGATTAATATTAAATTAATTATTTATAAATGAATAAAGATAAAAAGATTTTCTAAAATTGAACGAACTTAAAACGAATGCGTTCGTCAAAATATTTTTTTTTTCAAAAAATATCAACTTCGTTCATTAAAGCGTTCGTTTGTAAATTTGAAATATTTAATAATAACTAAAATATTTTAAATTAATATCATCAGCCCTTAAAGCGTTTATCAATCGAAAAGCCTTTACCTAACATATTCAATATCTGCACTCTCTCTACCATATTCTCTCAATTCTTCGTGCATTTCTATTGCTTGATATTCCTATTCGATTCGGCCGTTAAACTCTCGCCTCCCAAGTATCATACTTTAATACTTAATTTTACCGATCTGGCATTATGCATCAGCTGTTCCAGCATTCGTTGATATCGATTATTTTATCACTTTCGTTATATTGTATTGCCCCGCTTTTAGAATTGAAGTCTATTTTTTTTTAAATTTAGAAATAGAAAAAAAAAATTTAAACTTGCATTTTTTGCAATCACCCTTATTGGTGTAAGTGTTACTGTTAACCTTAATTTTTTTTAAAAAATCTTTGGTAGTGTTCTAGCTTTGGTCCGCTCAATATAGCATAGTCAAATTTTTGTATAAAAAACTGAGTTGCATCTCTAAGTTTGACTCAACTTGAAGATAGAGACAAAAATAATTAACAACTGGCTATACGTTTTGGAGTTGGCCAAAGTTAAGATGATTTTAACAATACCATTTATATAGTAGTTCTTTTTATCTAGGGAAAAATTATTATATACGTTTTTAACCCGTTGTTAAATTATAATATGGTAGATGGACCATATCCGAAAATCGGCTGGCAAAATTTTAGTTCAATTTTCAAAGTTATATAATTTAAAAATAGTAAAATTCAAGAGAAATATTTGGGGTAAGAGGTAAATATCAAAAGTAGAAATCTGTTGTCAGATCCACACGAAATCGAAAAATCTACTGATTTTTTCTCTGATTCATTCCTTTCCGTGCGGGCCAATAATGGTTTAACTTAATCGTTAGAATGCTTATACTGTTTTTTGTTAAAATGGCACTTCTCTTCCTATAACGTATTTTAAACTTAAATTATTATTTCCTATGCTTTTATGCAGAGGACAGTATCTGTTTTTTTTTAAATTTTAGACTACTTCTAGATCGGATATCGGCTAAAGAGTCGGGCAACTTAAGAAAAATATTTTTTCGAGTCGGGCCAGGCAATTTGTGCAAGATATTTTTAAACTTTAAATTCGTGGACTAGGATAACTATTATGGCTGGACAGCAAATATTACGGGCTGGGCCTAAAAAAAATTTTTTTTAACAAACTTGGGGCATGCTGATTTCTGTTCTAAATATTAATTTTAATTTAAATTAATCTCACATACCGGAAGAAGATTCTATGGATTTTTTTTAATAGTATCATACTCGATGCTGATAGAGGCACAAGTCATAATTTTGTTTTAATTTTTATTTAATTTTTTTTTAATTAAATGAATATAAACTTACCTAAAACAACGCTAAGGTTTTGAAATTGTTGAAAATAGGGGGAGACCGGGTTATATGGCAGGCAATCTTGCTTTTTTTCGTTGAAATTTTATTTTAAGGGATTGAACTAATATTATAGCATTGGATAGCCTCATCGTTATACTAGTATGTAAATTTTTAAAAGCGGGATTCTTACACTAGTACGATGGGTGCTATTTAGACTTAAGTTAAAGTCGTTTTTTTTTACTGTTTACCAACGACCCTTTATATTTCAATTCACTTAAATGGTAAAAACAAAATTGTCAGAAATTTATTATGGCATCTCTATATAATGAATTACAATAGAATAAAACGTATTAAGATTTGCGTAGTGTACAATTATGCAAAGTTATTCAATAAAAAGCGCGAAGATTAGATGCAACGTGCTTATTGTCTTCAATTTCCCGCATTCTAATTATGTCAGGAATGATCATATGCGTACAATCATTATGAATACTTATTTTAAAAATATTTATAACTCATATTAATTACATAGTTTCAAATCTGATCTAATTCTACTTGATTTCGCAGAATTTAAAAAAAAATGGCTTTCGGTTCCTAAATTTTACACAGTTCAATTTTCCTATTCCAAAGTCTGTTAAAAGTAATGTTTAAAAAATTTTCAAGAAATGCGAACAACAAATGAATCCTCTAAAATGAGAGTGATGAATGTATAGCATCGAATCTTTTTAGTTTTCTATGTGTTTATTTTAAAAATTCTAGATAACGTCTAATTATTATCTTTATATGATATTAAAGAATCGTTTTATTTTGAATAGCGAAACTAGATATTTCTACATGGTATAGTATATAGCCTATCTGAATCGAGCACCTGATTTAGGGTAAGTAATATATTTTAAACATGGGTTTTATATTATTTTAATAAAAAAAAATTATCGTTCTTTAGCAAATTGCCATAATTATGACTCGCGGCATATATCAATACTTGCACTTTATTAGAACCGGTTCCTGGAAATTTTTTTTTTAAAAAAAAATAGGTTTTGGTTGCATATCAAAATCTATAATTAATTATATCATTTAGAATGAAAATTTTGTATTTCTGTGGTTTAAATTTAATATATTACCATTTCACCCCGATTTTGATATCTTTCTCGAGGTAATTTGTAAATGGTAATGGATGAAAAACCCCGTTTTTTTAATTTATCTAATATATCGTTAATTTTTTTTAAATAAAACAAAAAAATTGATAAAAATTTTAGTTATAAAATTTATTTCTTATTTTTGAAAATAAACTCCATGGTTTGTGGAACATTTTCGCTCAACTCTTGGCGAAATATTTTATAATATTTTTGCATGTTTTAGAAAAAATAAAATTTTAATAGTGTTTTTTTTAATATAAAAAATGGCTAGATTTTAAAAAATATTTCATTGTTCCCTCAATATTGGTGGCATTGTTTTATTTTCCCACCATTTTTTTACAGGGACCCGGAGTAAACCATAACCGTAACCGAACCGACATAATTATTTTTTGTAGGTAAAAAGAACCTTTATAAAAAAAGGGTTAAACTGGTTCAATTTTATATTTTAGAAATGAAAATAATTTGAATATCCAGAATTATATACTTGCTCTTAAAGTACTGGCGGTTCCCGCAACGCAAGTTTCTGTAGAAAGGGCCTTTTCGGGGCTAAAATTTGTGTTATCGTCACGACGAACAAAAAGGAATCCATTTATAATAGAAAATATATTACTTATACGTTCAAATAATATATTTAAAAATGAGTTATTTTGAATCTTATATATTTTTTTTATATATATAATTCATAGATGCTTATAATAAAAATAAATTAGAAGATGGTGCTGCTTCAATAAAAGAAAAATTTCTAACCGTAATGAACCTTTATAATTAGCTGAACCGAACCTTTATAAAAAAAATTCTTAAGAACCGTAACCAAAACGTAACCATTATAATTTCTTACATACTGAACCTTAACCAAACTGAACCGTTATAAATAACGGTTCGGGTCCCTGGTTTTTTATATAATTTTTTGGTGTTTTTTTTTCTTCCCTAGTAAGTAATTATTCCTGAATGGTGCCCACACTATAAACGATAATTTATTTTGTTGTCTGAAGATGAGGCTATCCAGAAAAATTATTATTTTATCTTAAAAGAGGAAACCATCTAGCCATATAATCCCGGTCTCTCCTGTACATCTTTTCTTTCCTACTGATCAAAAATTAAAATATTTAAATTTTATTATATTAACACTCAGAGAAGCGATATTCGTCGATTTGGAAGCTGATTTCAAACCTAATCTCATTAATACAACGGTCTACATAATTTCTCTAACTTTGCAGGTCTCCACGTTCGTCATTAATTATCGGGTAAAATTAAAATTTTACACTAATTTTTTTTTTAATAAGTAGCCATATAACGTTAACTCTCTCGGTTACTATTTTCTAAAGTAACGTGCTTTGTATCTAAATAGTATGAATACGTCCAAACTCAAACGCGACTAGCAATTACTCTGTTTAATTTTATATATTTTTTTTCCAATCTATTAAGTTATCGTTTATTGCTTACATAATGAATCAATCAGCTTTGGACATTGCATTATTTCATATAAAAAATTTTTCGCCTTCATCAGGGTAAGCCATTCATGGAAAGCATGTACGAAAATAAAGCCTTGTTGTACTCACTCATCATTCCCCTCTTATGCACGCTTTGCTTAACCTTAAACATATTTCCGGCATTTACAGCGTATTTAGAAATTGTGGAATTGCCATCTGAAGTAAAAATATTATTATTTTTTATAGTTTATTTAATGTCGGGTTTAAAGCAGTTATAATCACCAAGGAGGCGGTATCTCTACTATTTACATTATACAAACTCTATAAGAGAGCATGGAACGACCATACCGTAAGTTACAAAATTCTAGGCTGGCCTAGCCCTTAAAAATATTTTGCGCGTTTGTCCGTAAAGTTTTAACCCGCGGTTTTGCAGATCTCTAATATACAATATATGATTTTTATCAATATTTTGACCCCATCCCACTATGCTCCCTGGTGTCTTTACCCTGCTTGGATAAAGATATTAGGAAATAAATTTCATAGTTGAATTAGCCATGTTATGTAGGGTTTCTTTTATGTATAATCTTAGCTTAAATTATTTCTTGATTTTTATGTATAATATTCTCAATTGCAAAAAAAACGAAATTCCTATTTACTAATAAATAATATCGAATTTTTTTCTGCCAAATAACACGGAGAATATTTTTTTCCCCATAAAATTAACGAATAATTTATTCTTAAGCCTGATTATACATCTTAACATTTTAACCTGATATTTTTTTTTATATAATTCAGTTCAAGTACGTGGTTCTTAGAATCTTGTTCCTGGACATTGCTGCATCTTACACTGTGAATTATGTTCTTCAAAAGTTATTCTGCAAATGAAGAATGTTTTATATTTTTTTAAACTTGATTAATTTGTATGATCCCATTTAGTCCAATTATTTATATATGTTTTTATTTAAAAAAATATGTTATGTCAAATTTTATTATGGGTAAATATAATATAATAATTAATGTAAACCAGGTATTCATAATAAATCTTTGTGTTATTAATGTCACATTTTTTTTTGATATCGACCAAACTCATCTTAATATTTTAAAAAATAAAAATTATTCTTATTTTAGATAGTTTTATAAGTCGGATGTTAATCGTTTTTATGTGTTTTTTTTTAAATTAAAAATACGATAATCGTAAATTATTATTACAAAAATGAATTTTTTTTTGGAGTGGCAGGTGTGATCAAATATTAGGGACCTTAAACAAGACGTGACACCGTGCTGGTTCGAAACGAGATCGGGACAGTTTTCTATTCTCAAATTAACTTCCTCAAATATTTTAAAGTAAGAATTGAAGGTTACAATGATACTCGTAAAGGTTAATATCAGTCATGTCACTGACTGTCCATCTAGGGTTGTTTTATAACAGAGCCGTGCATAGGGGATGGCAGTCAAGATGACCGCCCTGAGTCTCTTTTAAACAAATATTTTTTTTAAATAACCTCATTTCCAACCCTTTATATTATTATATTACACTAAACTCTCGTTGGTAATTAATAGCGGGAGGTTTTCTTTATAAGATTGTTTCTTTAAATTTAAATGTAATAAATTTATAAACACTTCGATTTGAAAAACATCCTAATTCTTTATTTCTCGGTTCAAAAACGTTCATATAAATACCTAAATTATATTATAATCCGTTAAACATTCGCAAAGACAAGTCAAATAAAACGGAAGCCGGGAGAGGTAGATGGTAGGAATACTATATAATTACTTAATATTTTTTCTTGTGTGAGGTTACTAATAAAAGGCGTTCAGAACATGTTTTGGTCTTGCGGTTGTCATAACCCCAACTTGTTTGGTGACATGGCACATTCATCGGGTGTTGCAAATTCATTTTTTTGGGTTTGCATAGTATATATCAGAGACCTGCAGGCCCTGCCCGTATTTTAAATTTTTTAAATATACCCGGGCCGGGCCTAAAAAAAATTTTTTAAACATATCCGGGCCGGGCTGGGCCTAAAAAATTTTTTTTTAAATATATCCGGGCCGGGCCTAAGATTGTTAAACCCGGGCCGGGCCTTAATATTTTTTATAAAAATTTTTACATTATGAGTTAATGGTTATAAGATTATATTATATTATAGTTATGATTAATATAATATTGGGTGATGGTTAACACTACCTAACAACCCACAGATCGATCTAATTATTAATTTCCTGCAAATTTATTCAAAGTATTAATATATTTTTTATAATTCATATCTAAATTTTTACAACATATTTTACCAAAACAATCAAATAAAGGAATATCTTAAATAAGCCCCAATATTCAAGTATTATTAATATATTTTTTTATAATTCATATCTAAATTTTTAGAATATATTTTACCAAAACAATCAAATAAAGGAATATCACTTCTTAAAGTTTGTAATACCTTTCAAAGCGAAAAGGAGAAATAAAATTGATTTTACTTAATATAAAGCATTTTTTAATTGAAAAATTTGTTTTACACAAGTATCATTTTATTTCTCTTTTTCTCTGTCCCAAATTCAAGCAATTACGTATGTAGTCAGGGACAGATCGCAAAATACCGGAAAACTATATAAAAGATTATATTAAATTACAAGAGGCTCAGGAAGTAAATGAAATACCATCGACCATTCAAATTACGACTGTTGTTAAACAAACTGAATCGTTTTATGACAAATGGGGCGATGGTAATTCTGGTAATATGTCAATACCCGATGATGAATATTATAATTACATAAATAATAGATAAAACATTTAAGGTGGATAATTTGTTAGAGTGGTGGGCGGCTCATCGAAGCGAATTTCCAATTTTAGCAAAATTGGCAATTCCTGCTTTAAGTGCAAGCTGTGAGCGGAATTTTTCCACTGCTGGGAGAATTCTCGAAGAAAGAAGAAGTAATCTTCAACCTGAAAAGGTAGATATGCTTCTCTATCTTCATGATAATTTGTGAATTTTTAATATCTTTCTTGAGTATAGGTTTTCGTCAATCATGCTGGTTTTTTACTTTGCAAACTGTCAAATATTTATTGCAATTATTATATTTTACCTTGACTCATGAAAGTTTTTAATCCAACATTTTTCATTATTTTTTTTTACAATATTATAGTTAAAAATTTTTATTATAAAATAAATTATATTAATATTGTGCAATTAGAATATTTTCAAAATACTATTTATTATACATGCATTTTTTTAAATAGCGATTTATTTTTATTTTATAAATTAAATACAATATATTATATTCTCAAAATATTTTCCATTTTTATAAATTAAATATTAGTTTTATTTTTTTTAAATGTAATATAAAATATAGTATATGACAAATATTATTACCATTTTTATGAATATTAGTTTTATTTTTATAAATGCAATATAAAATATAGTATTTGCTCAAAATATCCATTTTTATAAATAACAGTTTTATAATTTTTATAAATTCAATATAATATTCTCAAAATATTAGCTTTTTACATGTATTTTTTAAATAATAAGCGATAATACTCGCTGAAAAATATGGTAAAATACGTCATAGGTGAATTTTTGTATATACCAGGTCGAATATAATTAAAAAATTCCGAGCCGGGCCTGAATTTTTTTTTTTAAAAATATCCGGGCCGGGCCTTAAATTTTTAAATCCGGGCCGGGCCTAAAAAATTTAAAACTGGCCGGGCCGTGCAAATGGTACCTCTTCAGGTCTCTGGTATATATTAATTATATTTCCTGCTTCCCAACAAATGGCAAATTAAAAAAAATTGTTCCAATCATTTTACATTGTGAGTCTGTTAGGTTAAAAAAAAAGCTCGATGGAAATGGAAATTAGAAAGTGCAAAAGTTATCCGATATCTGCTTAGTAATATTTTTAATTATAAGGCTCTAGTAATCTTTCTTTCAGAATAAAAGATTTAAAGTGTAGCATTGGAAGTTTCTTCGAAAGATTATAAGGTTTCCCTCTTTTTGGGATACTCTTGTTATTTGTTACTATGTACTGGCAGAGGGGAATCTTGTAAACAAGATTATATAAAAGCGATAGTATCGACTTAAATAACGTGGTTTCGCTTATAGAAAAAAATATATGAATTTTTATATTGATAAGAGGAATTACTTCTAGTATTCTGTAATCACAGCAATAGTGCTTGCTGATGAGTTTGGGAGAAAATGATATACCAGCAATAGTGTAAATTTGACGTCTGAAAACTTGAAATCTATTTATGAAATTTGTGATCAACCTATATACAATCTTGAGGTAAAATATCGTGTTGATGTATCGCTAGATTAAGCGACCACGAACCCTTACGAATTCATTGCATTGATTTAAATAAATGCTTACAAAATTGAGGTTTACAGGAAAATGACTAATGAATTTGATCAAAATAAAGTTAAAAGTCTTACCCTTGTAATTCTTTATAATAAAATTAAAACGCGATATCATTCATGGGGTGAATACGAATCCAAATTTTAAACTGCTATTTATTTTTCGTCATAAAATAATATTTAATTTGAGATCCATTAATAAGAGTTATTACGAACCGAACATCGACCAGTATCAACTGCTATTATTTGCCGAATCTAAACCCATACCCGGGTCGGTCTGTATTTTAGCTTTTTTGAATATAACAGTGCTGGGCTAATTTTTTTTAATCGAATATTTTAGATTTTTAAAAAAATCCGAAAAATTATAAAATCCGGGCCAGGCCGTAAAAATGTTACCTCTGCAGGTCTCTGATTAATATTAAATATAGGCAACCATAGTTTTAAACCTGTTACTCAAAATATTTTTGCCCTTAGCTTCTGAAAATCAATTTTCTTCTGACGCCGATGGTTTAAACGTCTTGATTTGAGTCAATTTTTAAAAACGGCCAACTCAATTTTAGCCAGAAAAATATTTCCCTAAGCCTCGAGACTTTCTTAATAGATGTCCAAACCACTGTGACATCATTGAGCGAAATCTTCATCATGATCTTTTCCTGGCTAAAATATTGAGTTAGCCGTTTTTAAAAATCGGTTCATCGAGTCGTTTAACAACACTAGTTAATATATTAAATATGTGTGTTCGTTATTGCATTTAAAATAAAATTTGGTTGTTGTTTAGTAAATCGCTATATTATGTTTATAGACGCTCCTCGTAACTATTATAACACAATACTTCAAGAATTTTATTGGCCATTTTATTTGCCACTATATTAATCATTAGAAACGTGACATTATTGTCTAATGTGTTCTTTTAAAATGTGAGTTATGTTATTTCATTTTAACAAAATATTTCAACATTTTCACAAATTTTATCGTTTATTTATAGAATCTTAAAAGTCAAGAAATTAGAGTGTCATCTTTAACTAATGCCCTTCTTTGTCACAGTATTGAGAGTATTGTTAAGTTTATCAACTAATTTACACTTAAAGAAGAAATATTTTAAATTAATCTAACTAATTCTGCCAATAAAGTAAAATTGTTAAAGTTTTCGAGCTACCCTTATCTAATGTTTGTTGTGTTGGGGAATTGTGTCGATATCTAGTCTAGACACCTTTTTTTAGTTGTCTCAATATCAAAATTTTTTTTTACTAAATTCTTTAAATAACTTATGCAGTTTTTAAATGTCACTTCCGGTATATATATATAAAATGGCTGATATTCTCTTTTTAAAAAAAATTCTGATTGTAATTTGGACTTATTCAAATCCATATATGGATATTTCTACTCATAAGATTATCATTAAAAATTTGATTTGTTCGATGGAACTGATCCTGTGAACTTTCATTAGAATATTAAGAGATCAAAAGTCTAAACACATTCTCCATTTTAATCGGAAGTTTATTTTAAAAATATATAATTTTTTATTAATATTTTCAAGTATAAATTTCTTTTTATTAAAAAATATATATTATGATAAAATATCTAGATTTTAAAAGCATCCTTCTAGTACCATCTGGAATTGTGAATTGAATTATTGAAGATTTAAAAGAATTTTCCCCATTTCACT